TTTTGCGGTGAAGTAAATTTAATAATAAGAGACCCCCTCCTGCCCTGGCGCCCTGCCGGCCCGTCTCACCAGCCTCGCAGTGCAATTACAAGCTTGGCGCTCCCCTCCTCGCCACCCAAACGATGTTTGCCCAAAGGGCGCGACGACAGTTTTCAAAGGAGCTGCTGCTGCTGCTCGCCTTACAAGCCTGCGGTGCCGGCGACGTGGTCAGGAGGAGACCGCCCGCTCCTGGCGAGTACAAGTAGCGGCAGGGTGCACAAAAAAAATACATTTTAGTTATTCCGTGCTAATCAGTTTAGCTAGATGATTTTACACGCGTAAAAAAAAATTAAAAAAAATTGCTGGATGTAAAGACTCAGCTGTACAGCTAAAAGGCATTTAGCAACTCGGTTAATTGAAGGTGCGGTTTACTGGACGGCTAGAAAATTAAAATTAGCTCTGGTGGTAAACAAATTAGCCAAGTCAATCGTGTTCGCGTTCATTCTTTTACTGAATAAGAGATCCTCTGACCGAATACAAACCGAGGGAAATTTCTGTAGGGTATGAGTGGAAGGTTTCGAATAAGCTTTTTTTGAGCGATTGAGAAAATTATATTACCAGACATTTTTCTTGCATGCAGTGGAATACCACGTTTCTACAGCAAATTCACCGCAGGTAAAAGAAATTAAGCAGAGTACGAAATAAGAGATCGTCCAGAAAGTACGTCCGTTTTTCTGTGATCCATATATTTAATTTATAATTAAGGAAGCATGGCGCCTGCGAGACTCAGGGTAGACCAACCCGCAGTACACGAATGCACTGCAGGCAAGATGTTGCCTACCTATCAGGCGCTATGAGAGCCTGCATGGGCTGTTGCGGCGAATGAAGGTCGTATACACTCAAATCTTATGAACTTTTTTTTGTTCATAGCCCACTGAAATCTGTGAATGTCTAGCTCAATAAATCTTTAATGGCGCCAGTATGAATAAGAAAATTGTACATACTGGCATATTTTCACAATACACTCTTAGTTCATTTTAAAAAGTGGTCTTTATGGTACGAACAATTGGGTTTGTAACGTACAAAGGATCTGGAACCACCACATTGTTTTTCTTCGTATTACAAAGAGCACAAGTTTAAGACAAGACATGTGCTCATCGTATTAAAGCCGAGCCCTTCGTAATTCAAAGGATTTGTTTGCATTTCAAAGGTTCCAAATCCTTTGTACGTTACGAAAAGCAGTTCTCTCTTAGAAAATTATAGAAAATGTATACACGGTGTCATCGTGGGGCGTCGTGATGTGGGGACTTACTTTGTCGACTTGACATACGGAATTCAACTGTAGAACGTATAATGCGCTGATGTGGTGTGGGCCAGGCTCGGGCGCGACCGACCCGAGCCGAGACCGAGCAACAAGTCAAACTCTTTGAGCCGCAGCGGCGGCAGTGCGGTGCGGGGTCGTGGCTGGGCGCGGAGTGCTGTGAGTAAAGCATACTGGAAACCCGAGTCGGCCCCCCGTATAACCTCCCGCGCACCTTCCGTTTTGCATTTTGCGATGCGTACTTGCGTTTATGATATGCTGATCCGTGCAAAGTACAAAGTAAGTGTGACTCACTGTGAAAAACATCGTCGTAAATTTACAAAAAAAATGGTAAACTCGAATTTTAATTTAAGCCGTAAATTTACAACATCACATTTTTTACTCGCCAATGGATTTAAAGTCGACACATACTGCACGGATCTTTACGATTTCAAATTGTAATTGTACAACTTGCGTCAAGGAAAATTTTCATGTAAACCTACCTCCTTTCTTCACAGTGCTGAAAAAAATTGTAAAGACTATATTATTCACAACTAATTACAACCCGTGCTAAATTCAAATAAGAATTGCACTGCTTTTTCAGGAAACAAAACCTTTGTTTTTCTGATATTTATTTTTTAAATCTTTGTTATTATTGCTATTTGATGACTAGTGGCCCCATTATGTCATATGCCGGCCATGTCCCATGCAAACTCTACGTTTGTTTGTACTTACATGACACCGGTACGGGGCGGGTACCCGAGAGGGTGGCTGGGAGGGGGTCGGCCGCAGCGCAGCAGCACAGTTGAAAGGAACGGTGTTCCTTTCAAGCTACCATGAGACGCGCGCGTCTCACGAAAGCAGCAGCAGAGTGTATCCGTTCGTCGTACAGGCTTTTGCTCTTCTCACTTCCGCTTCTCGTTTCCGTTACTGGGGGGGAATCGCCGCCGGAATACTCCCGATGGCATGGCGCTACTCGTAAACCCCCTCCCCCTTTACGCACCCTGTGCGTGGTCTCGTGACGGCCTGTCCTCCCTACACCCTTA